TTTTTGTCGGGTTAAGTATTACCCGCCATTTGTTGCACCATTGAGTGATTACATCAAGTGTTTTTTGTACCCGGGTTGTGGCGACAAGTGGATTTCTGGAGATACTCCAGACCGCAATGTCATCGGCATATTGCGAGTGGTATGTATAAGTTAATTGTGGGAAAGGAATGTCATTGACGAAAAGAATGTAGAGTAGGGGTTGTCAAAATTATTTAACATAAAAGCAGGCGTACCCCAAGGATCAGTCCTCTCAGAGTGTTGTTAACTTTTACTTTTGCAGATCTGTTTGTAAGAAAGTTCCTAGATGTTAAAAAAGCTTTCGACAGTGTATGGCACAACGCCATCAGGTATAAATTACAATCACTAAATGTTAATGATACCCTAGTTAGATGGATATCAAACATTTAATAACAACCAAGCCACCATTGGCGTACGGGTACTATCCCGACACATGGAAGGAAGCAGTAATCACAGTAATCCCCAAAAAACACACTGACAGATCTAACCCAGACAACTACCGGCCCATTAGTTTACTGAGTTGCCTTGGCAAACTCATGGAAAAATTAATAGCGGCCAGACTCCTAAATTTCTGTGAAACAAATAATCTGATATCCAACTACCAAAACGCATCAAGGAAAAAAAGACAAACAATAGATCACCTCACAAGACTTACAGAATCAATTTACAAATCATGAATCTATCTCTACGAAGATATTTTTTAAGTGTTCTAGAAGCGGGTTCGAGGCTTTTTTGAGAATTATGTTTCTGATGCCGTCGTGTCCCGGAGATGAGTTTTTATGTTGATTTTTATTTCTGTGTTGGTTATATTCCTGTTAATGTAGTTGTCCTGGTTAGTGGTGGTGTTAGCATGTGTGCATGTGGCTGGGAAGTTTGGGGTAAAAAGTGTCGGGTGAGCGTTAATGAAGTCATTAACGTGTGTTTGGTGGTCAGGGTCGAAGTTCTGAGAGCGGTGGTTGTTGAAAGTTGCTTCGTAATATGACGCTAGTAAGTCTGCTTTATCCATGTCTGTCTTGGCTGTGGTGTTTTCGTATGTAATTTGATGGAAGAGGTGGTTATTGTTTTTGTCGGAAGCTAGAGTTTTGAATTTTTTCCAGAATTCTTTGGGATTGTGTTTATTGTTTTCTAAGTTATTGCAGAAGTCTAGCCAGTTTATTTCCTTAAGTATTTTTATGTTTGTTTTTATTTGTGTACTCAGTTTGTTAATTTGTGTTTTTAGCGTGTGGTCTCGCGATAAATAGTGTTGTCTCCTTAGTCTTCTACGTGTTAAAATTAAGTCATGGATTTCTGGGGTGAGTGTCCAGTTATTGTGTGAGTGTAAATTGTGTCTTGAGGTTGATGGGGTTGTTTCGCTTATTGCTTTGTTTATGGCCTGTGTGATATTTTCTACGTATTTGTCTATGTCTTCCTTGTTGTTAGCTTGTGTGATTGGCGGTGGTAGTTGACCCTTGAGTGTTTCATTGAATTTTTCCCAGTCGGTCTTGGTGTAATTATATACTGGCGGTATGTTTGGTGTTGGCCGTCTTTGTGTGTGTATTGTGCAAGAAATGGGGAAGTGGTCACTAGAGATTTCTTGGTGTACTGTGAAATTGGAGGTTTTGGGTAATAGCGCAGCAGGTACTGAGATTATGTCCAGAACATCGTAGGTATTAGTCGGTGAGTGAAAGTGTGTGGGTGTGTGGTCATTTACTACGTGCATGTTATTGCTACGTAGCAGATCACGGATTAGTGTTCCTCTGTGGGTATTTCGTCTTCCTTTGAGGTCTTTGTGTGGCGCATTTAAGTCTCCTATAACTAATGGTTGTGGTTTCCGCTTCAAACATAGTTCGATGAACCTTTGGTCTATTGCTTTAGATGGGGAGCAGTAAAGCGCGACTATTGAGAGAGATGGTCTGTTTCTGATATGGATATTGCAAAAAATTGTTTCGTTTACGTTTGAGGTGAATTTTTCATCAATTGAGATGCTGTTTACCAGATTATTGTTACAGTATAGAGTTATTCCTCTATTGTTGTCTTTGTAGGGGATGGAGTAAGATTTGAATCCGGGTATATTTATATTTTGGTTTTCTTTGGCTAGGGTTTCAGATGTTATTATTATATCTGCTTTTACTTGTTTGTTTAGGTCGTGTATTTCGTATTTTTTGTTGGCTAAGTCACCCTGACAGTTTATGTGTAATAGTTTTATGTTGTTTGTGAATTTTGTGTTTGTAGTGTTCGTTGCGTTATTCTTAATGATATGTGATGTGGTTTTAGGTTAGGGAGCGGAAAGTATCTCTTGGCAAGTTTGCAGAGAACTTGCAGGCAGTCCTCCCGTGTGGAGAAGTTCGGCTGTTCGCTTAGTTCTGTTAGCATGGCCAGTAGGTTTTTAGTATACTCTACTGGGTTGAAGGAAATGATAGAACCAGCGTGGTTGAGTGCGTTTACTGTTTGCTTCTCGTGTGTGTTTGACACCGGTGGTTCCGGGGGCTTTGTTGTGTAGTTCTGTCGTGTACTTGTGTTACTTGGTGGAGTTTCTAGCAGCGGCTGGCGTTGTGGGCGGGATAGTGGGGGGAAGTCTTCGAGATTCGGAGCTGGCTGCGTGTTTTTTCTGCTCCATACCACAGAGCTAAAAAGGTTGATGATATTCATGCACTCTATGCAGTAGATGTGAAATGGAGGAAACTTCACTCTATGTATATTGAAAAAAAGAAACATCTTAGGTTTTATTTCATTGCTTCAGTTGAAGGGGGTATCTTCGAAGGGAGAGGATCAATATACTATATTGGCTAAGCAACAGCTCAGATCTCCACACTATCAAAAATTGCTGGAAAGTAATGGGTAACATAGTATAAGAGAATAAAACTGAGAAGCACCTTGGAACTGTAGGAAGCCCTAATCTGCATGTGATATCAACAGACCCCTGCCTCAATTCAGTCTCTAGGGCACTCTATGAAACAGTGATGTAAAGCAGTTATCAACGAGAGTGGAACAACCAAATATTAAAACAAGAAATAGACTCTGTTACTACTTTTAGTGGCAATTTCTTTAAATATATGTTTTCTTACTCACAGAACGTTTTTGTATTTGTCAAGTATCTGTTGATTCTCTGTGATAATATGTTTATCACATTTGGTTTATTGAAAAAGATGCATATATATGTGTTTGGATAACTGAATTAAAGAGGTCAACATTCACAGGCGAATGCATATGTCCCTGCCACGCAATCCCAACATGGCCAGTTTTGACATAAAAAAATAGAAAACTGTCTATATTACTGCTTGGGACCTGCAAGATGGTATCTTTCAACCAAATACCATGTAAGTTGGTTGACATACATGTGAACAGTTCACAAAAACCTAAAATTGTACTTTTTTCATTGAAAAATTGAACAAAAGATAAAATTCCAAAATTGCCCATATCTTTGTTTGGGACCTGTAAAAAAGTATCTTTGTACCAAATCTCATGTAAATTAGCAGAAACATGGCAGAATAATTGTAAAAAAAAACTTTTAAATGATTCTTTTTATGGCATCTCAACCCCCTACAATAACTAAAAATGGACAAGTCCAACATTTTTTTAATATGTATTGCCTGTAGAAAAGTATCTTTGTACCAAATTACATGTAAATTGGTCAAAATATAGACAAGTAATTGACCAAAACCCCAAAAATTATGCTTATTTTGTACTTCTGCCCCCCCCCCCCCTCCAAGACCCAAAATGGGTAAATCCCACTTTTTTCTATGTGAATGTGTTGGGCATATGAAACTATATTTGTGCCAATTTTCGTCTTGATTGTTATAAATATGACCATAAAAGAGCCCAAAATATACATTTTTTTGGTTATTTTAACCTTTCACCCCATGAAATCCTTAAAAATGCCTAAATAAAAAACAAAAAGGAAAAGTCTCTCAGGATATTGGACCAAGGCATAACCCTAACAAGTTTCAAGTCAATCTGCCAAGGTGGTCAATTGAAAAGTGTTTAAAAGAAGAAGAAACAATAGAAACAGAGAATGTCTCCCTGCACAGACATAAATATAAGTCAGCTTACACCACACAATGTCCATAACTATTTTTAAGTAACAAATGTGTTTAAGGACGTTCCATGTTCACTATATAAAAGCATGAAAACTTGATGACTTGTGTTGCCTGTTGCTTGGTACAAGTTAAATTTTTCTGTAGGAAAGCAAAAATTATTCATGCAGAGAGTGTTATTTCAAATCTGGGATATGTGGTTTACACTGCTATTTTTTATTTTTCCCCCCTGTATATTCATTTGTAGATTTTATTTTTTTCTTAAATGCACAAAATTTAACATCAGTATTTTATCCTTTAGAGTTCAATGAAAATTAAATAACATTTAGTGTATCGTGCATAAAATGTGTTGTTTTGAATGTCTTGAATGATTCAGTAGATGCTTACATCCAGTCTGTTTATCTATTTAATTGTAAGGGGCTCTTTGCAACTCAAATTATTTAATACTAACAGAAGCATAGCATAGGCTATAGAAGTAGTGAATATTCAATAAATAATGCCCACAAACAAGACTGGTCCTGGTCAACTGAAATTGATCTTATTTTCAGGATCATCGTAATCAGAATTATAATCCCATTATCGATAAGCATGTGTATGTGTTGTAATTGTCTTGCTTTTGTTTTCATATTTCAAACATTTGTTTTTTGTTCGTAAACTACAATGTCATTCTACGAAACAAATTTTGAGTAGAATATCTTCTTTGACTCCAAATGGTGCATTTTATTTTCTACGCATTTAGTTTTAAGTACAAAATTATTAACAAGAAAAATGAATTGAAAAATTGACTTTTAAGGAAAGAATATCCAGCCTCATTTTTTGTTTTTGCTAAAGCCTAGTGAGCAATACTAATAATAAATTTTTTAATCAGGACTAGTAAATAACACTAGCAAAAAATATAAGAACTTTTTAACTCAAATAAAAGACTGAAAATGATGTGTTCTTTGAGGAAAATAATGATTATACTTGAGAAAGCCAAACAACTTCTCAGAACACATCAGTTTCACTCCTTTCAAACTGATAGAAACTAATTTCTGATAGAGGACAATGATCCTTCTGGACCCCCTGTGCAGAATATTGTCTTCTAGGACCCTCACTGTGAGAGGACACCCAAATCTCTCTTTCTTTTTTCTCTTAATCTCCTTCTATGCTAAAAATTAGTGACATCTCTGTTATGGGTGTCCAGATGATAATGTCTGTTATATGAAACTGTTGTGTTGATGGTTTTACTCGACCTATCTGTCATAGTAATAAGAAAAACACAGTAACAGTGGCTCTAACTTGTGCACACTCAATGCACATAATTAAACTGCATGTTACTGCACATATATAAATATAGGTTACAATGTTACTTACAAATGCCAATATTTATAAATCAATTACCTACATGTGTTTGTATCATATATCGGATCTTTCACTGAATATAATCAATACAGAATACGCATACATTTTGGTACTCAACCTATCAAAGACTATCAACCATCAATACCTCTAAATCTAATCACTCTGATACATTCTTTTTGTTATGTACTTTCTCACAAAAACAATTCATGATCTAATTATTATCACTCACCAAAATAAAAGTTGCCGAAACCTTACACAGGTCTAGTCTAATGCATTTTACAGACATTATATGTTTGTGCTACTGTCTTAATTATAAGTAAAGGAAAAATTATCACAAGGTAGCTTGCCTGACAAATCATAAAAAAGTGAACTTAAGTTTTATGCACATAGTTTGAACTACCATACACAGATGAGTTTGAGCAGGGAAATTAATTTTTCATAGATCAATGCCCTGGGTAACTGTAGCTTTTGAGAAATTTAAGAGCCCTATGTTTTTAAACAACCATTAAAGCACACATCACTCTTACAGAAAAAAGAACAAACAGCTCAATAACTATATGCTTGAAAATTCTTTAACCATAAGTTCTCACTGGAATAGACCATTGTCAAATATTGTTAAACTATTCTGTATAATATAGAATAATGCAAAAAAATTTAAACAATTTTGTTATCCCAATACCTTAAAATGACTTGAAAAAAGAAGTAAAATTTAAGAAAGTAAATCTGTTATCTAGAAAGCATTACATATATACACACAAACCCACCCCCAAAAATACACAAGCTTGATAATGAAGTGTAAACATATTGAAAACTATGATTTGAGAGAAAAATGATGATTATATTCCTTATAAGTATCAACTTTCACTTTATATATAATTTAACATGAACTAGCATCTTTTTAAGAAATGTAGCAACCCTGTAGGTACTCACTTTCACAGCTGTAAGGCTTATCAGCTTGAGAATATTCTACTCGTTCCCCCTTCTTTTTTCCTCGTGTGGTCTACGCGAAGAAAGTTAACTAAAGCTTACACTGTGGTAGATTACTTTATGGAAACAAAAATATATGTCAACCTGTACATAGTCAATGGAAAAACAGTAACATAATTACCATATTTCTTTGACACATTAAAAAAATATTTTTTTCCCCATGTTAAATTTATTAAGTGTTAAAATTTTTCTTACACTGAAAATGCATTTCTGATAGGCACTTACCCCCACTCGCACAAAGCTATCTCGATCTTCTTCTACCCTCCAAGCACTGCTAAAAAATGTTTGTGCTTAGCACACCAGTCTATATTTTGTGTCATTTTTGAACCGGTATATATCATGTTACTACTCTCCACCAATAGTATTGTGCCACATATACTGGTGCAGCTAGCTCCCTCTGCTATTTCTACACAATCCTCATTTTTGAGAATTGGCAGGCTCTAAAAGAAGAATGCAGTGGGGAAGAAGGGGGAAGTGTGTGAGCGGAGGTAAATTCTTATCCAAAATACATTTTCAGTGTAAAAAAAATGTTACCTCCTCTCACACAAAGCTAGAATCCGACATTTCAAAGGTGGAGGGGCTGGTTTGGGTGTACAACATTGAAACCAAGTGGAAAGCGACCATCCAGAATGAACAGGTGTGCTCTGAGATGAAAACAAAGCACACTTGTGGGGTACTGCGCTATTTCTGGAACAGGTATTCTCTTCACCCTTGAAGTAACAAATGAATCTGATACAGGCAGAAAAGTGGATGTGTACAAGTGAAATTTGTTCTGAGAGGTGCAATCCATAGTAAAATATAAACCAAATTAGCTATGTACATACAGAACCTCAACCGGACAGGCAAGATTCCATAACTTGTCCTCAGCATTAGGAGGTTGAGGATCAAAAAAGATAAAACAAATAAATTGTCATAAAAACATAGTGGCTAAAGCATGTGGACCATATTACAGATACTCATCAACCCCAACTGTAAGTAAAGAGTATCACACATCAAGCAACAGGAATTACTAAGAAGAAGTTAGCTTTCGGCCAAAACTGGACTAACTCCCAAAACCACAGCAGGAACAAAAAATAAAACAAACCAAACTCGACATTACGGGGTTTTGGCATTGCCTCAACTCAGCTGTAAGAACAGGGTAATATCTGTAACTGGTATTACAAAAAGAAATCATAAATCACTCAACTGTAAATGCAGGGCAGAAACATCCGGAATTATGAGGAGAACAAGGGATATTCACTCAACCATAGAAACAGTGTAGATACATCCTGTTGCCAGTATTACGAGGCAGATAAAGTCCCCCCAAACTCAACCGTAGGAGGAGGGAAGGAAACTCTTGCAACTGGAATTAACCCTAACAATATGGGATGGGTGGGATCCACCTAGCTTATAACCATGAAAGTATCCACAAGAGTAATTATACTATACGTTTTGATAATGTATGCGTATCTTTACAAAATTTTGCAGATTATTAGTAAACATTAGAAGGTTTTCATACACAAAATGTCAGGTTTTTTAAAGATTAAGATTTTTTTTATTAAAGATTTGTTCGTGAATTTTTTCTTTCAGAATGTTAGCCATCCAACGTGCAAAGTAATTTTGATTTTAAAATTAAAAATACTTTTCTATATCTGAAAATTGTCAAGTCTAAGTCACAAAGTACAAAATAAAAGCCAATGTGTAAATTGAATAAAATTACCTAGAAAACAAAGAAATAATCAATATCTAGCTCACAATAAATCTAAATAAACTTAGATGACAAAGGACACATAAATATTGCACTTACAAAAGCCTGAGCACTGATGAGATGAAATACTGGAAGCAATAGGAAGGAATTAAGAGAACAAACCTTCACCAAAATGAACGACGTGGAGACACAGCAACAGGAGCAGGAAAAAGAAAACTAGTGAAATCACCCTTGTCTTGAACATACAAAAAAAAAAAGGAACATGCATCGACCTGAGTAACCAGCAGTAAAAAAGGGTGTGGAAGGTGAAATCTCCAGAAGAGGTGTAGTGTGTAACAGACCAAAATAAGAAGATGCCAGAAAAAAGACAGTCAAAATTGTATTCTCCTGGAATGTACACTTTCTCAGCAGCATTGTCAGACTGAAAAGGAGAAGAAATCGCTAGCCAAACATGAATCTAGCTCCCTGCGAATTAAAGCCTGTACATCCTCTACAGATAAAGTCGACCCTGTTTCCTGGGAAGTCGTACCAGTAACATTGTTTGATACATTGAATTGCAAATTCATATGAAGTTCTTGTATAATTTAATAACAAGACACAAATGCAAAACAAATATCATTGAACAAATGCATGCAAACACAGTAAAAGAAAACTGTTGAAAAAAATTGAAATGGCAAATAAGCACAATCATAAACTGTAGCCACATGAAAAAACACACACATCTAAACGAAGCCTTGCCAATCGAGAAAGTGAGAATTGAGCGGGAATAGCATAGGGAGCTAAGTGCACCAATATAGGTGGCACAATACTATTGGTAAAGAGTAGTCACATGATATGTACATGTTTAAAATGGTGCGAAACTGATGGGGTATATAGACAGGTGCAGTGAGCACAAACATTTTTTAGCAATACTTAAAAGGCAGAAAGAAGATCGAAATAGCTTTGTGTGAGAGGGCTAAGACAGTATAGGAACATACAAGATAAGCACTAATTATAAAAACAACTTTTTATTTCCAAAGAAACACAAGACCTAATCAAAAACAAAACATTCCAAAGTTACACAGATGCTAGACCACAAGGCGTCAACAGTGATCTCTCAAATAACAGAGAAGTCTGTAACACTGTTTAGAAACAGTTACTTAACCTGACTAACAGGTGTAGATTTTAAATTATTTTTAAGTGGATGAGCTAATCTTGTTGTCCCTTAAATATCATGTCAAACAAAATTTTCTTAGTATTTCTGCAATATATTCAAAGCTTTTAATTAAAAGATCTTTTTAGCTTATGATTTTACCAAAATTGGTTTTAACACTGAATATACGAACATTTGAGATGTTGAAAAAAAAAAGTTGAAATAATCTGTGCTCTCATACAAGTTTTACAATTTGTGTTAAGGTAAAAATAATCACTGCAGAGTTAATACAGCATCATCTTTAATAAAATATAAGTAAAAATCATTTTTAAAGAGTATGCATAAAAAATAATTGAATCATGTACATTTTTATGCCAATAACTCTGTGCCATTAAAATTTTTGAGTACTTTAAAATATATTTATTATTGTTTAACCATCACATCAAAAATATTTTTAGTTAATTGACAAACAATGATTTATATATTACATTTTGATAGAACACTGGTCTGTCTTCTTCAGGTATGATAAACAGCTTAGCTATTGAACCATGTAGTATGTTCCTCAAAATAAATTCACTTCATTATGTTCATACATAATTGTTTGTAAATTTACTATTATATTAGTATAATGTGCTTCTCTACACAAGTATCAGAAATCTTTGTTTATGAATGCCAGATCTGTTTAACTGCCCCAATATGACAATCATCTACTCTCTACAAAAATAAAACATGCCTTTGAATCACAAAATTTGACTTACCCGAACTTTTTTCTTTTTCTCCTACTGTAGCTTTCCTCAAATTCATCATAATCCGAATCAAGATCTTCGGGTTCACCTAGCTCTGGAGGTTCAATGACATCTTCAAAATCCTTACACCACGAGTCTTTAGAGTCCTCAGTTACTTTATCTACACTGTTTTCTTCACCTTCTTCCAAACGAGTCACTAGATTTTCTACTACTGCGATATGGCTAGCATCTTTCAAAAAGAGACAAGGTAGTTATTACAGAACACCCTTATAACTGTTTATTAGATATTTATTGTATGGTCTAAAACAAGTATAACCAACAATCAAAATAGAAATAATCTTCTGTTCATTAATGAATTCTCCATTAAATTTAATCAATACTTCTGAACATAAGCTCTAATTGTGCTAGGCTAGTAACAGTATAGCATTTTATGCACTGTAAAAATTAATAAATTCGTTTTTAATAATTACACAGTAATGAGGAACAGAACAAAGAATGAAAGTGTAATTTATTCCTAACCAGCCACTTACTTCAATTTTTTTTATGGTATAGTCTTTTGCCATTACCTTGCAACATTATAATTAGAAATTAACGATATAAAAAGAACATTTCTCAATTCAAAGTGTATTGGAAGTCACTTATCTTTGATGTTAAACTATTTATAGTTACATTGTTGGTGTTGAAGCACCAGTTTTCATTACCCTTTCAATTTTTTCTGTTTTTTTATTTGGTTAGAATTTTCACGTAAGGTTACTTGAGGGCTACCTGCACTATATGTCCCTAACTTTGAAGTGATAGACTAGAGGGTAGGTAGCTAGTCAACCAACTTATTATACAGAGTATTCTAATTGAATAGAAGGACTTAACTCTCACACTTCTAATGAACTCATGACCCCAAAATGAATACTAGCAGAGACCCACAAAACATTTGCAGTCAAATTAGTACATTTATTGCAACAGTAGTTCTTTAACTACATGATTTCAAGAGTAATACAAAAAATTATATTCACAGACACGAAAACTTGCAAGTCTTAGGCCTAACGTTAGGCCTTTATGAAATACAGCCTGTATTCAATAAAGAGATAAATTAACACTCTAGCTTGTGTATATTTTTTGCTTTAGTTTAGTTAAGGCTAACATTTACTGTACTTAATACTATCAATAAATGAACTTATAATGTTATTCTATAACCTAATTTAGATCTTTTTTAAAAACTTTGATAAGCTTTTAATATGTTGTTGTACAAAATGTCTACTAAAGTATTTTTACATCTGCCTTTTGTTTATATCTGTTGAAGTGAGAATACACGTGCATTTAGATAGTAAAGTGTGTATGGATTTTCAAGACAGACAAAAACTTAGTATTATTATACTAGATTGGATTCAAATTCTGGCATGTTAACCAATGTGTCTTGCTCAGTCCATTATTTGGAAGAGAGAAGCATTTGCTTATAATGATTCATGATATTCTAGGAATCAATAACAGATCATAGGGGAAAATGATTGTTTTTTATGTATTTTGTAAGTAATTACTTATTCCATTTTTAACTTATTTTTAGTTTCACTAATATATTGGTTATAATGTAAAACAATTAAAAGGTTTTTAATTTTCACGTGTAGTTCTAATCAGTATTTTACAGTATAGGCCTCATTAATTCAGAAGTTACTTTTAGCCCTGATCTACATTGTTATCTTACTTTTGATCAGATGTTATTAATAATATTTCAAACCCATTAATACACTGTAATACAACATCCACTTACATACAGTTTAATAAACTATAATGCAATACAAAAGAGAAAATGCTATAATGAATGATATTATTAATAAATAGAAAATTTCTTAGATCTAATTATTATTTTTTCCCTAATCTAGTTTGAATAACTGTGTTTAAATTTATATGTATCCATAACCTGATATTTAAATCTATCAATGTGTAATACACATAACTTAGCACTCACTGGTTTAGATAGCTGCACACCCAATACTGTCAGTATATACATAAATATTTGAGAGAATTAAAATGAATTTATAATCTTTGTATTAAAGTATCTACCACACAATACTGCTTGTCACTCTTGTCTTCTACTATGACATACAAAAGAAAACAAAACAAACTGGGTCAAATTGACAAGTTTGTATCTAATGAGTAACACTGTTTCATCATTAGAAATATTAACACTGAAAAACAACAGTAATGGAATTTTAAAATTTAGAGAAAAAGAAAATAACATTTTTTTCACAAACTTATCTGCAGGTCTACAATACACTTAGTCATCTTATGATGTACTGATTTTTAAAGTCTATGTATTTCTTTGTTATATTAATAATATGATTACAGTAATGCCATATCCAACACTATTACATTAAAAATAATTTATGATGTCTATTATACTGCTATTTAATAAAATCATAGCTAAATTGTTTCCATTAGCAATGATTGTTTTGTATTTAGTATTAACTTCCAGTCAGAGCAAGCTACTTCGACCAAAACCAAGAATCAACTTGGTAATGAGTATAGTTAATTAAATACACTTTATTTATTTATAAAGACTATAACACATTGTTCATTCATTGGTGAAGAATTAAGTTATCATAATTTCTTCCTTTAGATGCAGGCATTTATTGGAACATAAGAATTACATAAATTATAATATCATCACACATACACAAACCTTCAACTTAAAAGTTTATCTTTTGTGCAATCATCTAGTCTAAGCTTAAATTACAAAATATAATGTAACTTAACAGTAACATGCTTTGCACAAGGTGTTTATTGTTGATTGGCTTGTGACATAGTATGCTGAGCTGCAGTATACAGACACTTAACTGCCAAGTTAAGAGAGAAACTTTGAGTTAATAGTTTTTGGTTACTATTATTTCTGCAGGCGTTATCATGTAGGTTTTAATCTGATGGTGCCTGATTGGATTTGCCAGTCAGCATGAGGGTGTCACTTGTTTAGTTTGTATAAATTGTTTTGTGTAACTCATCTTCATTTATTAGTAAACAGTTCTCACAATTACCTGATTTGTCATTATTGAGCTAGTCGATATTAATGTTGAAGATCTAGTTGTACACGATACAGAACAAAATTGTCATAAGTTGGGTGTCCTGGCTGCTAACAATATTTTCAGCCATAAACACAATAATATCTCACAGGTTTTGGCCTGCTTAGGAGATTTAGGTTAGTCTTAAATACATATATTAAGCTAACAATATGAAACAATACATAATAGAAAATAACAGCAATAAATATTAAAAATAATAACTTGCATATATTAAACATTCTATCCACTAATGTTAATGAAAGTAACAACAAAAAATATACCTTACTAGCATTAGCTGTTGGTTTCAAGTACTGTTACAGATTTTCTTACTCAGCTATAAAATCATGAATTAACAGAAACCAAATCTTAGTAATATACACTTGTTAAAACACACAATCTGAGCATAAAAATAACTGGTTCTATTTGTAATTCTGGCAAGTCATACTACCTGCTTCACTGACATGATCAGCATCTTTCACTTTTTGTGGAATGTATCTATCATTCATTAAGTACTGCCATCTTTTTTTCTTCCACCTTTTGACTGGGTAGCTGTACAACTGGCCAAAGTTCTGACCAGGCATTCTTTGCCATTTCGGCATCCATAAACTGGAATCACTTTGGGCTACACCTGTTTGTGCATCTAAAAATGGTAATCTAGTCTTTCTTTCTATACATAGGCGAGTATTGTAATTTGCAGAGCTTTCAACTGCTTCTCGATAAAAGGAGTCATTTAAAATGCTGAAAACAAGCAACAAAAAATTACAGTATATTATCTTCATAGTTCTATTACACAAATCAAATAAGCTTATATGAAAAAAAAGTATTACTAGATTTTGAAATATAAACAGTACCTCTATTTGAAAGCAAGTAAGAAATATGCAAATGAAGTTTCTTTTATCATTACCACATTTGAATAATATTTGGAACCGAATTTCATTTATTATCATTTGATATTCACACAATATTCAAAATGATGAAAGGCAGTTATTAGATAAATTGTAAGTCAAGAGCACTTGAAATTAAGGCAGTTGGTTATACCACTTTTTTCCATTGTGCTGCATATTAGAACAATTATATTACAACAAATTTCAAAACTTGAATTCTAAATGCATAAATACCTTGGAACTTAAGTAAATTGTGCATATACATTCAATATAAACTTGTTAGAAAAAAATAGAAATACCTGATCTAAATTTTTTGATAAAACCACACACATGTAAAATATTTTGAAAGATTCAAAGTGTATAAAATTAAAGGCATTGAAGGCACATAAAAATAATATTAATGGCATCTAACACCAAAACAGTGTGTTTATATTTACCTTTCCAGACGTTCTATAGCTTCTGTATTCAAAGAAAAATCAGTTCCAGACATCTTTCATTTGGAAGATATATTGGTTTTCACAATAAATGCTATAAGAAAATCACATTAAAAATATTCTTAATCAGCCAGGTTGAGCTTTAGTGCTAAAACTTATGCTGACAAAATTTTTTTGAACAAAGCAGCTGTTTATTTAGAACACAACTTTTATGTACAAGAAATTTAGTAAATCCACAGAAACTCAGGTTAAAACCTACAAGCACATTTATTAACAATGGAATACAAAACTTTTTAATGACAGCATAGTAGCTCAGTTTTTTTTTTAAATACAAACTTTTAGCTCACAGCTCTGTCATCTCTTGACCAATTTGAGATCTAATTACATTTTTGGACTCAGAAGGTCAAACCAGAGATGAAAGTGTCCCTTTCCTAAAAATCCTGAAAATAATCGAACCCAAGTAAGGGGGTCCGGCACCCAAAATCCTGCATTTTGATGCATTTTAGTACTTAAAATTCACTTAAACAAGTTACCCCATTTTTTTTACATCAATGATTATGAAATACATGTGAGAAATATCAAATCTGATTCCCTAGTT